TCATGTGTAAAAATTTGTTATTTGCATATCGCCACAGGAACTCACTGCAAAACCAAATAGGCAAACAGAGGCAAACGAAAGTTTTTGGAATAAATTATTTTGAAGGTATGTTGAAAAAAAAATGTAGCGTGCAAATCAAAAATTCACAAAAAAACATAACGTAATCTTTGTAAAATCAATACATTCTTCGCTACTCTCAGAACCTATAATTCAAGTTCCAAATACAGATGTATATTTATTGCGATAAAGTATAATTTTAAATTTTACTTAGAACAAATTAATACAGTATCTACTTTTAATATTGACATCAAAATAAAACAATAGATACAACAATAAATAATAGTATAATATATGTATCGAATGATACAATAATATATGTATAGAACGCTACAATTACGAAAAATGGCACAATCGATTGAGAGTAAAATAAAAAAAAAGACCAGTCCATTTATTTCGGCCAGGCAAATCGAATAATATCAATTATTTTTAAAATGTTTTAGTATTATTCCATATAACATCCACATGTTTAAACTCTGAAGATAACCAAGCAGACAATTATTATATTATATTCGCAATGACTATACTTACGTGTATTTACGAAAAACAATCATCAAATAGAAAAAACCTACACATAAAAAATAAAAAAAAAGTACCTATTCAAATATAATACCTAGCAGTATATTCCAGTATTATGCACTACAATAATACATAAAACCAACCAAATTTTATAAATGTTTGTTTCTATAAAAATAATGTTATATAGGTACACATACAATATACATACTATTGTGACTGATGAGTTTTATATAAACCGCAATTGATTTTGTCGAACCACATAGTTATTATTGCGTGGACGATTTCTTTTCGGTGATAGTTCTAAACCCGAACCGTTTTAAAATGTAAAACCAATGTCTGTTTGATTATAATAAAATTAAATCCATTGATTATCAATAGGTTCTACTGTTACGCTATTCAGCCATTCTATAGAGTATAGACTACCTATAGTGACCACTACTATAATCTCAAATGGCCAATTTATATAGTGGGCCAATACCTATTATTGGTCCCTAAAGCTATATTATTTGTTAGTCTGTCGGTCACTTTAAGAAAAAAAGTCCTGTTTACTTATCGATCGCGCACTATATTGGATTACATTTGTGTTTCGAATAGGTAATGTCCAATTTATTTTTATAAAAAACATTCACTTTACTTTAGTATATTGTTCGAATTTTGTATCCGTTAACCGCATATTATATTAAATCGTCTTTCGGTCGATAAATTAATTTTTAAACTTGTTTCAGCCAAAGTAAGTATACTTATTAGCATATTAGCACATCGCTTTTATCCTTTAAACGATTTTTACGCACTGATATAAAACTATAATATATTACTACCTTATTACATTTCGTACATTTTCACATTTTTCCTTGGTTTTTCCATTTATTGGGAATTTATTTACTGAGAAAATAAAAAAAAATGACCTCTTTAAAGTACCACCCCACTCAGATTTAACCACAGTATTAATTTAATTAGTTCTTATACGAATATAGTATATTATATTTATGTATTATGTATAAACAATGCAAATGTTAATTTTAATACAAGTTTCCCTACTTGAACCTACTATTTATTAGTCAAGAAAATTCAAACAATTGTATAACAAATATTAAATTACAATACAACGCGACAAGGTGTTGTGTCATTTAATGTTTTTGAAGTCTTTGATGATCTTATCTGTTTTCTCTTATTCAAAAAATAACAACGTTAGACAATCCAACCATGTTTGAATCAATGTTGTTCAAAAGTTACTTTTAGCAGCAGTTAGTTTTGAAAAACAACGCTCACAACTACACCATGTATTAGGTATTGTGATAAATATCTGTAAAGTTTTCAGAAAACTTATAAAAAGTTGTAAATAGTAATTGGTGGTTGAAATTCCACGTGCATCACAGGATAAATTGGCTGGCACTTGTAAAACCGCTTTTAAAAATATATTATAGACTATAGAGTATAACATGAAGATCTTTGATTTGACAATTCAAATACATTTTTTTTATCTATTATTTTTTTCATGTCTGCACTACATTAAAAATATTATTATTTTTTTTTTTTTTTTAGGGATGGAACTTAAAACAATAAAGTTAAAAAAAGGAATTTAACCACGAGTGCTTTTTAATAATAAAAAGCTATTTAAATTAATACTAATTATATTTTAATCTACGCTCAAAGTTAATGCATATATAATTTAATCCTTGTAATATAGAGTAATATCCTTCTCGGTATTCGTGACGCACATCTTTTAGCTTCTTAACCACCGAATTACGCCGTATCTGTTTTTATTACGCATTATATTAAAATATTATAATCAACAAACCACCTGTTAATATAATTTTTCGTTATTTTCTTACAAGAGTTATTTCATTCAGCTTTGATGTATCTCGATTATAAAATGTAATATAGGAGTATATAATATTTGATCGGAATAAGTCTGTGGGAATTCGTGTCAAAGTTGTTATAGACCTTTGAAGTTATATTTTATAATTTATTACCAAGTATGTTGCATTTAACCGAGGCTGTCGGCTGCAGTCATTACTGAACTGTCGAGAACCTCCCTCCCTGCCCCGGCTTCCTCTCGGCATTCGATTTTATATTCTGTCTATAATAAACCCGAGGGTTCAAGACTGCGTGAAATTCTATAATATCAAAAAAACGCATGAAAAAAATATTTTTATTTAAAAGCACTGTTAGAGTATTTTATACAAGTTGCATCTTACATAATAATAATATAATAATAATAATATATAACATATATAATAATATGTACGAGCATTTTCATAAGTATTTATTTAATTGTCGTATATAATTTATTTTTGAATACGTGTATAAATACAAATGAATTAAAAAATTACATTTTAGGAATGATAGGTAATAATTCGAATAGATTTCTATTAATTTTATATTATATATCGTAAATATTCAAAACTGTAGTTATCCCATCCGAGTTGCACGCATCAATTTAAGGTCATAATCCATAATTCAACGAAAAAATGTGATCCAATCTTTAGGGATAAAATATAGGAAATCCGATTTCAAAGCTCACACATATCCCATTCGTCCACTTTTGTATGAAAATTGTCAGTCATCATTTGCGTGTGATAGATTCAGCTATGGATCTCATACAGACAGGCAAACACTTTTAGATTCTTAGTATAACGAAAAAACTGTATTAGTTATACAAAGAGGGATTTTTTTATGATTAGTGAAAATAAATGCTTTGACTTTAACCTTACCGAAATGTTTAACAATTTACATCTTCTAGATCCTTTTATCGTTTTGTTTTTTATTTTTGTTGATTTCAAGATTATACATTGAAACAAAAGAAAATCAGGATTAATACTAGTCCTTCAAAGATTGTAATGTTCTATTGTTACATACAGTAAACTTAATTTTTCTTGTATATACGTATTCTAACTTTCGAACGACCCACCTATAAAAATATAGCTAGCATACTCATAGTGCAAATTATGTCCAGATTTGTATTATTATTGGTATAATATTAAATATATCACATAGTCTATGGATGATCCAAATCTCAATAGTCAAACAGTAAATTTTCAAAAATCCTTCATTTCTGAAAACGGTTTATTGTTGCACATTTTACAATATTCGTGATTTTTATCCGACAGATAATATATTTTATTACGTAACTTTCACTTTAATATTGATAAACTTTATGTCTTTTGAGTCTCTTGGGTAATCTCTCCCTCTCGTTCTTCAAACTATAAAATATATACTATATAGATCGATTTAATTTCGCGAGAAAACTGGCAAACCCGTAAAATTGTTATAGATACTTAATCATTTTTATCCGTCGAAAATGTACACACATAAAAAAAAAAATAAACACATAATATACCAGTATAATATTTTATAATATTAATAATATTATTTCAGTTTTTTAGTTTCTTTGGAATTTGCAAGTGGCGTGTAAGAATATAGTGGAATTGAATGTCCATTAATAATAGTGGAATCTTCCGTATAAAAATATAATTACACAATTTTTAAAACTGTTATTAATAAACAGCAATATAGATTTTCTGTAAAACGTCATATAATATAAAAATTATAATCAAACGTAATTTGCGGTTATTGTGGCAAAGCCCAAAATGCTTTAGTGGTAAAATAGAATTATGTTTTGGCAGTTTTTTTTAAAAAAAAAAACAAATATTTAAATATTATATTCTGAAGGATATTGTAAAATTTTTTCTGAACGATTTGTAGATAGTTTGTTAAGCGATATTATTTATACAAAGTTGTTTTAAAGGGGGTGATAATTTGAGAAGTTGCCCTGAGATACCAATTTTTTTTTAAAATTATGAAATACCAAGCTCAATATAGAACTCAAAATAAAATTAACAATATTACTATTATCATCTTACTCGTCATTTATTAAAACTATAATTAATATTGTTTGGTAATTAGTAGAGCATAAGTACAATCTAGTACGTAATACGTGTAAGTACCTAGAAACAATTGCGGAAGGATCACTTACATTTTGGTGGAGGTAAAATTTTGAAATTCTATAAATCAGGGGCACGGGGATTAATCTCCGAATTATCCCTAAGTAAGATCTTCAGTTCCCCTCCCCCTATTTAAATACAAGTAATATAAAAAAGGGTAACGAGTATAGGATAATTCAACTTTATGCAAAACTCATCCCAATTGCTAATAGGTATAAAAACTATAAAATATCGACTTTCTCGAATCGAATCAAAAAAAAACCTATAGGTATTAAAATTTAAAGTCAAAAATATGAGGTGGGATATTTTTGTTTTACATTTTTTTTAGTGTGGCTCGAATGCTTGATTACAATAATATGTTAAACTATTCTAAAACTATACATAATAACAATATTAAAACAATCTAACGTTAACAACAAAAAATATGTATTATTTACGTACATAATTTTTTGAGTTTATTTGGAAAAATATAAATATATAATGGATGTAAAGTTTATGCACAATTTAACGGACGCCTTAAAAGTAGCAGGATGTTCGATCGGTGAAGACCTCATACCAGTTTTGTACAATTCGCTGATTCAATTGCAAAGCGAAAATCATTTCGAATCTATATATTTTTGGGGCCGTATCGTCACGTTATCCAACGATTATTATATCGCATACGGTTATCAAAAGGATCCGATTAAGGACAGGATATTTTTTTATTCGTGAGTTTGAAACCTTATCCTCCTTCATATTGACTTTAAAATATAATAAATATACTAATATTTGTATTTAATAATTGCGTATTATATATTATGTTTATTATTTTAGCCATGTTACAATGATGGTAAGTTCCATTTATTATGTATTTATTTTTACAGGGTGATTCAAAATTTATGTTACAGCCATTTTATCATGTAAATATTCAAAATAGAGGAAAATGTCTTACACAAAGGTTTTCCGGTGTATAAATATCTAAAGTAATATGTAATTTGTTTTTTTTACGTATTTTTGGATTATTTCTTTATTTTCGGGTTTGCAGAGTCAATATTTGAAATTAAAATGGAAACCTAAATTTAAAGTTCTATGCATGGATAGAGTGTTAGGTTAAATACTTTTTTGTATTGAAATTTTTCGATTTTCTGTTGGCTGGATACTCCACAATTTTATTTAGCAGGAGAGTAGTGCAACACTAATCAAATTCCTTGACGTTTGTTGGCCCACCACACAAGCGCATGGTATTTCACTTGCATTTAAACTAACACTCCGTCTATTCATGGAATTTTGAAGACAATTTTATATTTGAATTTAAAAAACTGACCCTAAAACCCACCAAAAAAAAACGTAAAATAAAAAATTTAAATTTATTTTAGATGTTTATAAATTTAATATCTTTTGTGTTTCACATTTTTCTCTATTTTAAATATTTACATAATAAAATGGCTGAAACATAAATTTTGAAACAACCTGTATATATCTATATACATAATTAATAGATATTATTTTTTTAAATTCTGAGTGGAACGAGGAATGTGTTGGTTTTACAATGATGTTTATTTTTATTTTATTTTTTATGTGAACACTTTTTCTATCAGAAAGCATACTCTGATTATCAAGTATAGCAACTTTTCTGAAAGGAAGTTTTTTACCCCTACTCCATATACCTTAAATTAGTGCATACTTTTGATTTTCAAATAGAAGCCCCTCTCGAACACAAATTTTAATAGACAATATTTTTCTAGAAATTTTGATATGAATCACACTAATATAAGATTTACCGTTTATGAGTTATAACACTTTAAAGTTTAGACCAGAGTAACAGGAAAGGGTCATAGATAGGCAATTTATTACCATTCCCTAATCTTCCAGTCTAAACTTTAAACTGTTATAATTAAATACCGGATTTATATGTTTTTACATATCGTTACTGAATTTATGAGGTCTTATGAGAGTAAGAAATGTTGACAATTCGTTCAAATTTGGGTTCGTAGGAAAAATTTTTTTTTGAATATTTGAGAATGTTTTATTGGTTAAGGAATATTTAGCTTATTTTGCAAATTTTGGAATATTTTGTAAATTGTGAGAAAAAAATATTAATTTTAATAATACGGTACCTGGAAAAATATAATTTGAAAATTTACAATTTTTTTAAATAAGATGAAAAAGTTTAGTGTTTAGTACCTACATATTATAAGTTACCATTCAATAAACATGTCAGCTAATCTGTAATGTTGGCAATTTATATATAATTAATCATTATCAACTATTCAAATTTCTAAATATTTTGTTTTGCACTTTTCCATTTATTTGTAACGTGATTTTTAAATTTTTAAAAATGAAATTACCTTTATTGTTATACATATTTATCTTATATTGCTACTCTAAATTAACTGCACTATTATTCTATTTTAGTACACAAGTGTTACTAATTATTAATGGAACGTCGTAAAAAACTTTAAAAAAAAATTGCTTATTAAAGCATATAATGATGTTCATTGATTATTTTTGCATATTTTTCAAATTTCTAAGAGAATATAATTAGAATATTTTAAGGTTTTTAGAGAATATTAGCACCATATTTTAGGTGTTTTTTGAGAATATAAATCCGGTCTTTAATTATAACTCATAAACGGTAAAACTGATATTTGTGTGATCCATATCGAATTTTCTAAAAAAATTTTATCTATTCAAATCTGTGTTCAAAAAGGGGTTTCTATTGGAAAATCGAAAGTATAAACTTATTTAAGGTATATGGAGTAAAAAGGAAAAAAATTAAAATGGTTTTAAAATAAAGCTTAAACGTTTCCTTAATGAGTAGAAAAAAACAGAAATCAAATTCACTTAAAATCCTCTGAGATAATTGCTAATTCATGATATATGAATCATCCTGTATAATATATGTATTTATTACCATTGAAAATGTCTGGATTCACCAATCCAGTTAAATCTATAGTAAATTTCTTGCGCCCCTAATTTAAAAACGTATACAATGTCACAATATAATTATTCGCCCTTTATTGTTTCACTTGTTCAACTACAGTCAAACCATTTTGGAATGGGATTTAATTCCCACGGATTTGCCAATAAATGAAACGGATTTGGTGCGCAAAATTAAAACAAAATTTAACGGCAATCCAAGGTACGTGGAAATTGCGGACAAGTTTAATAAGAGTTCAGGGGAACCTGGAGTGGTCAGACTAACGCCGAGTGTATTATTTAATGACGAAGGCGCCATGGAAGGCGGAGAAGAAGAATATAGTCGTACTAAAGATTCATCACGGATAAAAAGTGTACATCTCGACGAAATAGTATCATCAATTACTATCGGAGAAGAAACAGGGGAATCGGTAAAAGAAGATAAAACATTTTATAATAATTATAAACAATAATATTGTTATTTTCTTTTTTACATTATAATTGTGATGTTAATTGTATTTTCCAAAGGAAAGTGTGGAAGATTTTTCTGCAAACAAAATGATCAAAGAAGAAGATAGGCTCGCCATATCCGTTAAAATGATCGACAACGAATGTCATATAGCGCCGCGAGGATTTTACTATAAGTTGCCTGACGGCAATATAGTCAAGGCACCTTACTTTAAAGGTCATTTTAATAGAATTAAACAACGATTCAAATTATTTTTGAACCTATTGATAATTGATTTTTATAATAGGTTTAGACTATTCGGAAATCGGTAACGAAAATAATTTTCTCCACATTAGTTCGCATCGTTGGACGCCCGGTAAAAGCAAACAGCGATTGGACTATAACGGATCGATCGATTTTTTACAACCAATCGATAAAGATATACCAAAGGGTAGATAATTTCATTGATTTATAAGGATAGGCACTCACTTGCAAACTTACAGTTATTATTAATGATTTTTTTTTCAATGTATAGGATGTTGGACTACTCGAATTGTATCCAATCGATATTTGATTAAGCACAATTTATTATGGCCGGGTGCAGTATTTTTGCAAGACATGAATTTAGGCATACATAGTTTTTTCTATAATGGAGATGGTGTTAAAAATCTAGATTTACCATTTATGATTTAGTGTATACATTTTTTATTTTAATTGTAAACAGTACCTTTTTATAATAAAAAAAAAAACGTCCGTACATACATATTAATTTTTTTCTTGTATACTCAAAAACAAATTGAAAAACACTTATAATGATTAAATTATTATTAAATATTTTGACTATAGGTACTATTATTTCAAATATTATAGATATTATTATCTATATCTATATCATTATATAGATTTGAATATTAATATATTATACGAGAAAAGGATTACTTCAATATTTATTATATATTTTGTAAAAATATTATACATTCTGTACAAAATTCTAACACTTGATATATACTTTTGTAAAATATCAATAAAATTCATGAATGTTAAAAGTTGTAAATTTTTTAAAAAAAAGCTAAATTTTATCGAAATAAAAAAAATAAAAAAAGTCAATTGAACAATGTGAAAAACAACATGAAAAATGTTTAAAACAAACTATGTACTGGTATTAGGCGACGTTAGTTTTTTCTACATACCTGTAATAATACAAACTATCCACCATATTGAATGTCGTTACTCCCTAAAACTGTGTAAACTAACCTCGCTTTAAATTTTTTAGATCTTACCATGTTCTATAATCGATTAAAATCGTATGACGCCTAAAAAGGGGTAATACACATATATAAAAGGTAATATTAATTATTTGATGAGTATTTCAGGTTTTTACGATTACTTGTTACTAAATTACAACAAAACTGACATTGCATAAAATAATTCCGCTTTTTTTCTAGATTTTCCTTAATATTCTTAAAATTACAAGCAAATAAAAAAATAACACTATAAATCAGTGGCGTCAAAAGTTGTAAACTACTCGTGCTTATAAAGACAATTAAAAAATTCAAGTTATTGAAAAATAAGAAAACTTGAAATAATTAAGGGCTCTCAATCACCCTTATATATTTTCATTTTAACGGTGTTAACCAAGCTCAATACATTCTGTCGGCATGTATCTGATAAGTAATTTTAGGCAACTCTTTACTTTGCCTTATGCATTACAAATCATCAAGACGATTTGTAAGGCCCTAATGTTAATTTTTAATTTTTAAATTAAATTAAACATATTTATGAATCGAGTAAATTTTCCCTACTGATCGTTAGATTCAGGGTAGTACTGTGCTGCAGTGATGATTTTGTATCCTGTGTCTAAAAAAAAAAAAAAAGACTTACATAATCAGAATTGTTCGCAACGTCAAAATTATGCAGAACAAGTATATCGAATGTAAACGCAATCAACAAATAATACATTTTGGGTAGTAAATTATTATTTATAACACAAATCTAGGGCTCTGAAAAATCTACTCATTGTTAAGCAGTACTGGTACAATGTACGCTTAACGGTCCCACAGCTACCTTCTCCACAACAAAAACTAATAAAAATATCTACATGACTTTATTTTGAAGTATTATACCTAGGAGTACACCTATAATATTTTTTACTTTGTTTTTAAATGTAAAACAATAATGTTCCCTCATATTTACGATGACGATGTGCTAAATACATTATGTGTTTAACATTTATAGTCGTCGACCTGTTTGTGATGTTTTATATTTATTGTCACCCAGCCTGTACGAGGGGTTGAATAGATTAAACCTTTATGTTATGTTACACGTAGTCAGTTTCGTGGAAATTGTTATCATAGTATATAAGGTAAATATTTGATTTCATGCTTAATTAAATAAAATTATATGGTTTTAAAAATTGTGTTGAATTCTCATTTTCACCAATGCACATCGTCCGTCTAAATAACAACATAATATGCAAATAAAAAACGAAAAAAAAATAATAATAATATGGTAATGCCGCTCACGGGTAAGCCATTATAGTTATTGTAGGTGGGTGGTTTGGTAGGATACACACAGGTCCGGATTTTAAGGCTTAGGGCTGCAAAATTTGAACAGCAGTAAATTTATACCGAACAAATAAGTACCTAATGTATTTTATTTATTTTAATTTTTTGTAAATCACTTATCCAAAATTGTTCGGGTTGTGGATACCTATATAATTTTTAATTCTATTTATTATATTAATAATATTATATGTTAATGTACAATACATGGAACATTTTCGTCGTACTATGGCACTTTTTGATATCACAAGTTTTTTAATTCGAGTTTTTTTTTTCTTAGCGAGGTTTTTACATGTAGCTGATGAAGGATTTTCGTTGGAATATCACTTATTTTTTTATTACAATTTTAGATATAGTTTAGTATTTTTTTTTTTTTAAAGAGTGAAGAATTGGAGACAAAATATATTAGTTGTTTTGTGAATTGAGTAAATGAATATATGATGTGAATAGCTATGATATAATTTATTATGAATATTGCTGGAAAATGATACTATAATAATACAGCGATAAAATAAATAAGCAAAATTGTGTTTTATTCACCAAAAATGGTGACCGTCGCAAACAGGGGTAACAACACGTACATCATATTTTACATTGTTGAATTGTTGAAAAAAAATAACGTTTCGTATAAAAACCAATGCTAATACTTTTGCATATTACTCAAGCTATAAAACATCCGATCAATTTGAAATTCGCCAAATAATCATCTGCTTAACATACTGATCAACTGTGTAAATTTCAAAACATTAAGTCAATTAGTTTAGGCTAGAGCGATATTGGACCATTTGTCGTAAAATTACACAAGTTAAATTTGACCGTTTGGTGTAGTATACTACTGTCGACGCACGAGCTCTTTTTCTTTTACTTAGCTCTGTACCGCAACCACAGCGCTGAATAAGTTCAGAGTATGGTCATTAAAATTTTATTTTGTAAAACACTCTTGCATTCAGACAAAAAATAATTGTATTATTTAAAATTATTACTTATTTTTTGGTTTAATTTGTTTCAAGTTATTAATTATTAATAAGAAAATTATTGATAACATTGAAATTATAGGAGGCTTTTATAAAACTTTGGATAAGTCTCCATTTCCGTAAATGAGTAAGTACAAGGTTTTCAGTGGACCTAACAGAAAATAATTCCTAATTACACCCCCGAATAAAGTTATTTAATTTGTATCTGTAAGTAACGATAAGCCATTGCTAACAAAAAATGATTCTAAACGAAGTTCGGTTATATACTCGAATACGTTTTGAAATGTCATCACTATTAAGATTTTCATTAAAATGTGTTAATACAAAACTCGTGTATGAAAAATTAATTAAAATACATGTAAAATACATTACATGATATTTTAGATTCTGAGTAGAGAGTGGAATGTATTTGTTTGAAAATTATGTTTATTTTATTTTATTTATGTTTAAAAACGGGAAATTATAAGAAATGTAGGTATTAGTTAAAATATATTACGGATCTCTTTTTTCCTGTGAACAACTTTTCACCGAGAAATTTTGCTCCGATTTACAATGATACCACTTTTTCTGAAAGGAAATTTGAATGGGGTGGTACATTAAGTATTTATTATATTATTTTTTGATTTTCCTAGCTTTTTTTATAATAAATGGGAAACACCGGGAAAAACATAAGAAAAAAGGGAAAATATGTACAATATTAAAAAATATTATTATATCGGAAATATATAATGCACATGTAATTATTTTACCATATTATGACATATATATGGTTGATAAAGCAACACTATTAACTCCACTCATAATCGGTTTTTCGTTACAAATGGTTAATCGCTGCATACAGATATACATTGAATTTCCCCTCTATCTTCCCAACTTCTCATCTACACCCATCGTGAAAAGTATGTCCGTCTTTTTATTATTATTTTTTTTTTTAATGATTTTTTGTTAAATTTTAAAGTATTTCTGTTTGGTCGATCAATTTTATCCACATAGTACCTATCAAATAACATCAAATTCATTAAAATAAAATGCCTATAAATAGCTCAAAAAATATATTCAGAATATTTTGTTACAAATGTATAAATAAATAATTACGTCACCTGGAGTGTTATGAAATGTGTATTGTATGACCGGTTTCGAAATAAAAATTCATCGTCGGTAAAATCACAATTATTCAATACATACATTTTTAATTATTACGAAACATAATACCAATATTTTTTACGATATATTTAAAATTATAAAATGTCTGTACGAGAAATATTGCAGGTTACATTATTGATTTGAGTTTTAAGTTTAACAAAAGTATATATTAGCAAAATATTTCCAATAAAATCAATTATCTAAATTTCCAAGTTTTGTGACACCTACCATCCATGTACCTCATATAACTAGTCCTGACTGTTCATTCTAATTTGAACCTTCGAAAATCGCGATGCAAGTTAACGATTCCGAAAAAATGATTGCAAAAAGTCAAATTCAATTAAAATTTTCCGAGTAAATGATTGGTTCATAGATTTCAAGGCGGTTTTTTTTTTTTACATAGAAAATCATTGATATTTTAACAATTTCGTATGCAAGTATGAGATAGTTTTTTAAACTGCATATTATAATGTGGGCCAGATGCCATGACAATATAGACAATATATGATTATAAATATCAATAACAAAATAATTAACATCGTTCTAAATTCAAATGTTCCATTTTTTAATATATTTTAAATATGACACACAATTTGACAGCAATCGAAAATGTCGACGATGAATTTTTAACGCGTTTGTGTGATATTCAATCATATTGCAGTTCATTAAAATCAACTCATCGTGATGGTATTTATGTGCACTATGTCAAATAGTTGTTTTATAAAATAAAATAAAATAATAGTGTAGAACTGCACTTGTGTACATATACTATATATTATTAAAATATACACGCGTAAAATGAAAATAGTCTATTTAAAAATAAACAAAAAAATGTCTTTGTTTTGGATATAGTTTTATAACCTTTTTTTTTAGATATACTACTGTGTCGAGAATGGCTGAAGAAATTGTACACGTCTGACCAACGAGATACAAAACTTCGAAACGCCTATTTAGACAAACTGTGGGAACAATTAAAGGATGGGGAACTAAAAGAACCGTTTGACAGGTTGCCTAAAGACGACGAACCGTTGGAGTCCTTAACTACTGCAAGTCGAGTCAACGACGAGATATATCCAGACGCTGGTGATGAGGTTCAACAAGAAGTCAGTGATGAAATACATCAAGTTATCAGTGATAACATACATCAAGAATTCAGTGATGAGATATATCCTGTTAGTCAAACACATCAAGTCAATCAGAGACATCAGTCCATACAGGTTGGTAAATACGTATTTTTGTTTTACACATTAGGAATATTGTTCCATCAGAGTACCTATAATATCGTTCTTGTGGTAGACTTTGAATGACTCTTCTGTTGAAAACACTCCGTCAGAAAACACACAAATACGTACATTTGTCTCGGATATGTTCAACTTTCCCGTAACCGTTATTGTTCACAAGTACGACGAGGATCGCAAAAATCCTAGCGAACAAAATAAAAATATCCTAAGTAAAGGCTATTTTTTATTTCGTCTTAACTGACACGATAATTTTAAATGTTATAACTGGTTTGAATTATATTTGTAAAATATGTTATAGTGAAAAAAAGTTTCAGCGATGGGAAAATATTGAACACTATTGCAGCCTGTCACACAAAACAAGTAGGTACAAGTATAATACTTGGTAATAATAATGTTTTTCAAATCGATAGTAACTTACACTAAAATTTGATTACTCAATCTCGGTGTATACACTGTACAATATATATATATATATATAAATGTCCCACGAAGATATACCAATTGTTATATTTCTGGAGATAATAAAGATAATCGAAGTAGTGAGGTATCTAAATGTGTATTTTTATTTTTTTGTATCGATAAACAGCTTTTCTACTAGAAATTTGGTTCCAGAGTATAGTACCTTTTCTGAAAGGAAATTTCTTTTAGTTGGTGCATTATGAAAACATTACCAAGCAGCATCTAAGAGGTTATGTTTTTGATTTTCGAAGGGGTTTTCAAAATAATCGAGAAAAACACGAAAAAAAATTATGGGTAAAACACCAAATATTTACGGCACGCCGCGACGTTATCGATTTCATTGTTTTTATTTTTGCAACTTATATTTTCTGTCAATAATATTGCTCCAATTAAAAAATAACAAGAGATTTGTTTAATTCCTTTTAACATATAGCCATTGACAAAAAAACGTTTATTGATATTCAAAGTAGTTTTCACAATAATTAGAAAAAACCAAATTATTAAAATTAATATTAATAAATAATATTTATGGTAACATGGCGTCCAGATTAATTATTACATATATTGCTCCAATAGAAAAGTAACAAAGAACTTTTTTTTGTTGAATTGTTTATCTATTTGTAAGCAAGAAAGTCGTTTATTTGTAGTTTGTTTAATAATTGAACCAAATCGGAAAAATAGGTAAAATGAACAGACAAATTTATTATTAATTTTTCATTATTTTAATTTTGTTTTTGTAAATTATTAAGTTAAAAATATTCGTAAACTTGAAAAAATTTATTTGCCTTTTCAAGACGTAGTAAAATTTTTAAAATTCCCATTTTCGAACTATTAATATACATTTAAATTGGTCAAGTTTTTAAGTAATTTTTATTTGGTTGGTATTGTGTAGATAACATTTTCAACTTAATAAAAATTAATGGAAATTTGACGGGAAGTTATAAGTTATAAGTTATAAAAAAAAGTTGAGTGTAATGTAGTGTTTTATTATTTTTTTGTTTAAGTTTTAAAATCAAATTTCGACAAAAATCGTAAATATTATGGACTTTCAAAACATGTATAACCGAACTTCGCTCCAATTTTTGTTAGCAATGGTTTAATTGGTTACAATTGTAATAAATAACTTTGTTTATCTTGGCTACCCAACTACCCACCTACAGTGGCCGAACCCGTCCGCAGTAATAGCTCTTTTTTTATTATTACTTATAGGTAAAAGGACTAAAAATATAAATATATATATATTAAATTATTATGTTTTAGTGAAAAAAATAATTTTTATTTTTTATTTTCGAATATGTGGAGATAACTATTTTATAGAATTTATTCTTCTAAAAAATTTATTACCCGAACTTTTTATTTTCATTAAATTCGTGAGTTTTAAGTGTTTAGTAAAAAGTACCTATAGTTATGTCGTAAACTGTATTTACATTCGCTAATTAATTATTATTATTGTTTTGGCTAATCGACTGAATACTTTTTTCTCTGAACATTTTTCGAAAATAATGAAATAGTTATTTTTATTTTATCTTTTCATCTAACATATGAATTTAAATAAATTATAAATATGTGTACTCTTTATTCCTGCGAGTTAAGAAAAAAAAAAATTTTGATTATATGTATTTATCATCTCAGAAGATAATGCAATGAGAATATCTTCATGGGACACCTTTTATACGTACTTGTGAGGATACTTCCCCGAAAAAAGGCGGTATAGTGCATATTATTAAAACCTGGAAGATATATTATTTTTTTTTTCCGGTTTATTCATACCACCATCTATCAAAAGTTTATATAACTATTTATAACCTATTAAACCATAAATCAGGTACTAAATCAACATTATAAACGTCTAGAAGTTCTATGAAGTTAATAAATAAAAAGCAAATCTAAGAATATTCTAATAAAGTATTTACTCATTTTAAAAATACAATAATTTTATGTCCGATCGTTATTCATCGTTAAATTTACCCAATCCATCCCTATTAAGTTTAAAACTTTCGTAAACCATTTCTCGTACACATAATGTAATATAAAATGGATATTAAAATGAATTAGTGTGGTCATTTTAATATTAAACGGACTGAAAAATATATGAATTTCACCTTCTCTACTGACGAGGAAAAACTCAAATTACTGAGAAAAAATTCTAGAATTGCGTATCCTTATATTTTATTTTAAAAGTAAAAAGTCATGAAAACTGGACAGTTAATAGGGTAATAGGAAAACCGAAAAATTGTCTTTAGCTTAATATAATTATTATCTGTGATATTTTAACATTTGTTTTCTGACCCAAAGACCAGAGGTCGACCGAAATGCCGACTTAAGACTAGGCTAGAATTTAGACCTAAAAAAAGCCCTATTTTCGAGGAGGAAGACGAAATAAATACATATGTGTACATAAATATATAACTGTTAAATGTTTTCATAGTCGAAAAAAGAATCACAAGATAATAATAGTGAAGCTGGCGATGGCTTGATATTTGATCATGAAGTTAAATTAAAATTAGTATTGATTGAAAAAATGTTTGACCAAATTAAGGTTTGCTCGTACACATAATACATGCCTTAAGGTTTCATTTTAATTAATTATCTGTACCTTGCAGATAAACAACGAAATTCTCGGCGAAAAAGTTCAATTGAGTACTGATGGTAATCAGTTTAACAATCAGATATCTTTGGTTACTGATAAATTAAACAGGTAATTGTTTTTCACAATTTACTAATCACTGATTTGGTTTTTTTTTTTTACATTTTTTTTTATATATTTAGCTCTGCTAAACCTTAGAATATCTTCATAAACCATTAAATATTGCCTTTGTTTCAGCTTGCTATTGTTTTTTTTTTTTTTTAATATACGATATTTTACCATTATATATCATGGTTTTCACTAAACATACTAAACTTTCTGACTTGGAAATTCGACGAGGCAAACATATTTCATAATATTATTGCTAATTATATTATAAAATACAATAATATGCGTGTATAAAAGAAAAAGTTTGAAACTTCAAACCTACACGATAAAATAACTTTTGAATGTGATTAAAATAATTTTCCTCGCACTGTACTGTAGTGCATAAGGAATATATAATGTAAACTATTTCTACTTGCCCGTTGAATTTTAAATTACTCTACTCTCTGTACTCGTCCAATTAAAAAACTTTTAATAGGTTATCAATAACTAATTAGGAAGTCTGAAGTCAAAAACAAAAAAAAAACTAATAACTAGATAATAAGTTGAAAAAGTAACAAAACTTTTGACTACTGTAAATATACTGTATAGCAGTGATTCCTAGACTTTGTTTAGTCAATTTTTCCTAGTGGGGTGATATGAATATGGATTATCAGAAAATCCGAAAATTTGAATTTTGCATTTTTTTTTTTTTTTTTTTTGTAATTTTCTCTAGTATTTAGTTAGCGTTGTTTTCATTTTAGAGTCGCAGATGTGCTTAATCAAAAAATAAGTGGAGAAGTGGTGATCGAATCGGAAGAGGCTGAACAATTTAAATCTCTCACGGACAAATATAGTGAAATCGATGATCACCTCGGCCAGGTTATATTGGAAATCAAACATTTAAAAACAATGATTGAAGACGCGTGCGACAATAAAACCGATATCAACGATACATTGGAAGTATTAGAGTACATAAAAGAACTACATTGCTTGCAGATAACCGAAAACGAAAGACGTTTCACTGAACAGATAAGAAGCCTCGAGGAAGAAAACAGACGGTTAAAGGCTCGCGTGGAAGCGGCTAAACCCAAAGGACTCTCTACGTTTAACGAGCCCCGAGCAAACAATTCGAATCAAAACTGGTACATAGAATCTCTGAAGAATTCCTACAAACGCATCGAAGAATATACGAACGACAGGGTACGTGCACTGCATAATAATACAGAATACACAATAAGTACCCTTCATTATAATATATAATATAGTAAGATTTAGGTTAGGTCGGTTCTGATGGTAATAACGTTATACATTTCTAATATGCTTGACTATTTAAATTGATATAATAATACTGAATTCCAGACACTGTGGATGATAGTTATAATTCAGTTAATGTATCTATATATAATGTAACTAAATAAAATATATAGCACTAAAAATCCTAAAAAACCACTAAAATTTCCTAAAAAGCACTAATATTAATTGAATTATAATTATTAATATTTGATTAATAATAATTAATCAAAATTTCTAAAAAAACAGTTTATAATAAAAATAACCAAACAGCATAAAAAAAATTGCTAAAAAAAGGAAGTAACATTTTGTGTATTAATCCTATATACTCGTAGTAAGAAACAAATGTTTAGTTAATGATGAACTAATAGGGAAAAAAAAGAAAACGCTCACAACATTACCCTTCCCCACATGATTTTCAAAAATATTATACAACCGAAATGAAAACAATATAATATTTAGTTATCAAATTATTATTTAAAAACAGATGTGCAATTTATTTAATTTCTCTATTCCTCCAGTCTAAACTTTAAACAGTTATACTCATAAACAATTAATCTGATATTAGTGTTGTGCATATCAAAATTTGTAGAGAAATATTCTCTAATTGAATCTGTGTTCAAAAATGCGTTCCTATTCGGAAAACAAAATTAAATATTTATTATAAGGCATATGAAGTAGGGATGAATAATGAAAAATGGTTTTAAAATTAAACTTAAATGATTTCCATAATGATTTTAAAAAAAAAAGCACAGAAAACAAATTCACTTAAAATCCTCCAACAAAATTGCTAGTTTATGATAAAAAAAAAATCACTCTGTATTACACCTATAATAGTAATTCTCTTAATTTAATGATAAACAATTAATATAAAAATTAGGTATGAATCTTACAGACTTTGATTCTCAAAATAATTATAAAATTGTGTGCAAAAAAAAATAATAATAATAATAATGGGGAAAGGAAACTGAAAAGAGACTGAACAAACTCTTATTAATAAATAAAGTGAAGATTTCAATTCTCTCAATAATAATTATGAATAATAAGTATGAAATTAATCTTAGCTGTACGTTAATAATTTTAAATTGTAGTTTTCGATAATAATTCCGTATTTGAAAAAATTGGAAAACACAAAATATCAATTGGAAGTCCTGAATGAGAATCATAGAAAAGTGTTTTCGCAATTGATCGTGAGTACACAAATTAATCGATAAGTTTATACGTGGTGTTTCTAATAGAATTTTAATCTATCTCTTTATTCGTTTTGTGCATACAGGCCAAGTTGGAAGAAATAAACAAGCCGTCAGAAACGAAAGAAATGCAAGACTTGATTAGTCTGTTACTCCAGTCTTCAGTATAAATAATGGACTCATATTGAGCTAGGTCAATAATAATTAGACATAGACCATAATATTTAGAGCGATATTATTAGTATGTCAAATTGACTATATATGTATAATTTAAATATAAAAAATTATTATAATGAGGGTATCGAAATATACTTTTGTAACATACATTTTATTATTCGTCTTAGTAACGTGTATAGGAAATAATTTTTTTCTTAAGGGGGAAGGGGTATAAAAACAGAATATATTTACTTAATATTATAAGTAAATTTTATATTAATGATTATGAAAGTTAGAACACATAAAAATATATAAATTGAATTAAAGGACAAAATCTAATTTTCGAGGCAGATTTGCAAAATTAAAAATCCTTTCTTCAGGTTCTATTTAAATACTTCGACGAATTGACATGAGGGCTAATCCTTTAAGTCAATTTTCACGTGTATTATTTTTGAAGTACGATTTAAACCTTTTTAATGTCGAAAGGGATATTTCTGATGCTGCTGTTGATACCGGTAAAGTTAATAATATTAACACCAAGTACCATATATTTGTTAACAAATCAACAGATATTTTGTTCAAAGTATTAATAGTAAATTTTGGACACCTTTTCTGAGAAAATTTCCGTTTTCTGTCCATACTTTTTATTCTAGTTCAAATGTATTGGAACTGGGTAAGACAGTTTTATAAAAGTGTGTACATTATTCAAAATCATTATAACTAGGTTTAAATTTGTTACAGAGATATTTCGGAATCAATATTTATAATACAGAAATTATTTCATTGCACTTAGAAAATCGTTTTATAAATTGAATTTTAAAATAAAATAAATCGATACATTGTAGAAATATCGTTGGAATATAATACTGTTTCGAATGTTCCGATGATAAAATGGCATGTTATTACGAGATAAAATATGAAAAATTATGTCCAATTATGGTCGTTTTAATGACCGTCGATGACGCACAACGCTCGATGGTTAGTAATATCTTACTTCATAGATATCCCAACAATAATGATAATTAATAATACTACACACATATACAAATATCTTAAGCCACTTAAACTCTATATTTTTTCCATTGGGGGGACATAACTGTCGACGATGCTCGTTGAAAATGGAAAAAATTTGATGAAAATATGCGAAGCTTTCGCAGAAGTATACTCATCAAAAGAAGAAAATACAAAGAAGATAGCTTCTTATTTTACCTGTAAATGTACAAAAGTAAAATGTAAAGTGGAATGTAAAAATATTAGTACACACTACACTGTATACAAACATACAGGAATTATTCACTAAGCATGCTCATTTCATTTTTTGATTAAATTTTGCATATATTCAAATTCTGAGTTTTGGAATTTTTAAGTGTATTTAAAGCGTGTTACTAAGTGTAGTAATTTGGTAAAACTGTAAAAGTGTGATATTTTAAACCAAGCTAGTGAATGTAAATTTGTTATAAGGTGCATACTTCTGTTAACACCTCATTTCTGGTCTGTAGCCGGGACTTTAGCCCCCTAAAATCTCAAACGCTATTAAAATTAGTTGTCACTGCCAAGGAATTACCATTTTTAAAAGATGAATTGCCGGACATGACGATTAATTGTTATAGAGAATACGGGTGGAAACGGGATAATCCGTTGAATTTAAATTTTTTTATTGATTTTGTTTTTAAGAAAATTGAACTAGGAAATTTAGGCTAATTCTGATAATGTTTTGTATGGTACATATTTTTATTAAAATTATATTAATATCAATATATTAAAATTTATAAATTATAAAATTTTAAACTAATAATAAAAAAAACTTTTACCGTAAAGACAGCCCTGACCTTTTTCTAGCCATGTTAGACGGCATTAAGGACGTGAATAAGCAGTAAAATAAAACGCAAGTAGAACGACGGATATAGATCGCATACCGAATCAGAAACTTGTCTGTAGAGCGCATACCGAATTAGCACTTAATTTCGTTACCTTTTCTTTGTTGTTGGTAAAATGTAGTGTATACTCCTCAATACTGTATATTATTATGACGTATGTCTGTGTATACACGGATAATTAATAATTGCTATAAATAGATATTATTTTATACAACTTTTTTAACAATTTACAGTTTACTTTTACATTACAGTAAATGAGTAGCTAGGAGTATAAAAACAGCATAGTTAACAACTTTTCGAACACCTATCAATACAGTTATTTAATTATTATAATATTTGTATAGCTGTCTACTTCAAGTTCAGACCGTAACGATAAAACTACGAAAAAATTACAATTCATCAATAATATCACAATTTTTTATCAAGCCCTGGGGAGGGAGTTTAATCCCGAAACTCCGTCCCTCCGTATATACGACACTGAGCTGATAAGAAATGCACGAAATAATTATTACGTAAACAAACGCTGACATTTCAGCCGGCGGCAATTTTCCGATAACGTCAGAGAGGTGTCGAGGTACCGTTTAACGTCGTCTCTGAATTTTCCCTTGTGTACATTAATTATTCACACGCGTACGCGACAGTGACTGTTAAACAAGCAGAATTTCGCATGCGCAACAATCATCGTGCGGCTTGTTTTTCATCGCCTCTGTGTACTAAAAATATATGTGGTATTATGGTAAGCCCGCAGCCACGACTACGGCACGTTCAACGACAACACGCATAATCATAAATTAGTTATCTTTGTCACACAGCACCTAATTTAACCGATTTCAATATTAGTTTATATTTCTGTCATGTTCAAATCGTCACTCGTGTTGCTTCGTTTAAATTTGTTTACGTGTGTCGTCGTGCTTTTTATTCAACATTTATATTATGAATCCAGTGACAGACGAGGTTGTCATGTTGTTGGAAACGCTATTTTTACGTTTGAATTCTGATAGTAAAAATGATTTACTAAAAGTAAGTAAGTCAGAGGCCTATTCCGATTTTGTCAGTTTTGACTACTGACAAAAAACTAAGTAAAGTATTCTAAAGATCATTTAATACAAATTTATATCAACAACACACTTGGTTATGTGGAAATCATTTGATCGTGTTGGTTATTGGATAAAATTAAGTCTGTTTGGAATACTGTTGGGTATTCTATACGAAACAATTATATTGCTATTATAATTATTTTTATGTTTTTAAATTCCATTATTGTGAAGTTTAATTTTGGTTATAAAGGGAGGGAGAGTGATGCATAAGTTGCCTCACTAAAAAAATACAACCAAAATCACCACTGCCGTAAATATTTGACATTTTACCTATAATTTTCTTTCCAGTTTTTTGCTATTATTTTTAAAATCTCTTTGGAAAATCAAAAATCACCTCTTTAATGCACCAACAAAATAAAATTTCTTTTAAAAAATGTTGCCAGTAACTTAATACATCAGAGCAAGATTTATTTACGAATAGTCGTTTACAGAAAGAAAAAATATTTTTAAAAAAATCATAGTCAAACCAATATATTCCTCTCTACGCTCCGATTCTAAAATATAATTGTATTTTGACAACTATGCTTAAAATTTACACACTAAAAATTGAGATTTTTTAAAACAAATTTGACTATATTTCTAATAATAGGTACTTATCAAAAACTAAAGAAACATTTATTTCGATTTTTCAGAAGAATACATTTATATAATTACGAGAGAAAAAAGACGTCCTAGGATAATGGGGATGGGTGCAGCCATTGTTATAGATATTTTAATGATTTAATGTATATTAATTAGCAACGTTTAACCATTTCTAACGAAAAAACGATTCTGAGAAGAGTTCAGTTGATAGTGATGCTTTTTCAACAATATATGTGCCATATTATAGTAAAATAATTAAGTAGGTAAACTACGTTTAGTTAGGTTATTACTAGTTATACAATTTATTTTATGTTATGTTTGAATTATATTAGATATTATTATAAAATATTATTAATGCTTATATTATAATATGTTCACTCTTGTCTATCATCACAAGGTTTACCTTAGAAATAGACGAAGAAGTATTAAAAAAAAAAAAAATGTTAAATCTACCTACTTTAAACTCTTATTACTTACTGCTAAATAAATAAAACATAATAATTATTATTATAAAATACACTACGTAAAATTGTTCTTAATACAATCTAAAAATATAAATATAAAGTCTAAAGTAAACTTTAAATAAAGTTTATTGCTATATACATATAACAGGTAGGTACTAGTTATAGATATTTATAACTAAATTAAGTTTAATTTTGAAACAAATTCTTAACTAAATATATGGGAATTTGTTTGACAATAATTGACCAGACGGTAGGAGAAATTATAACGTCATAAAATGATTGAACTCCGTTATATTAAACTAAAATGGTACCTATGTGCTACCATTAAAAAAAATAAAAATAAAAATTTGAAAAACCTAGAAATGACAGTGTCAAAGGTCTGGATACGGAAAATAACGTTATATAAAAAAATAATAAAATCGTATATAATTATACGATTTACAGAAGCCGTGAGCGTTATTCATTAAATTCATATTGGATTTTATAATAATAAAAAAAAAAAACATTGAAAACTAGTCGTCATCTTTCATCTGCTCGCCTTTTTACTGATGATATTTTAATGAAAATACCATTTTCGCAAACATCATAACATTTTTATTTTCGATTAAAATGATCATTCCTCTGTCTTAAAAAATAAATAAAAAAACCACTGTTCGGGTACCTACATCAAAGCTTCTATTACACTTCTAGTTCAGTCCTATAATATTTGATTTATATGTGTAACTACTAAAATAATTTTGTATTACAAAATGAATCTGTAATCGATATAGCGCCCCCGAGGGAGCTGGTAGCTGAAAAAGGGCTTATTTTGAAATTAGTTTCAGGACCCGTATTATTAGAGAACACATTTTGAAAACTGTATTTCATTAATATATAATTAATTTTATATTTTTTTAAAATATAAATAATTAATTACCTAGCTTAAAATAGAATAAATAATAAAATAATTATTTATAAATTGGCATTGATTATAATTATAAATAATATTTATGTT